GTCCCCAGCTACTCGAGAGGTTGCAGATGGAAGATCACTGGAGCCGCGGAGGCCTAGGTTGCAGTGAGCCGAGATCACGCCACTGCACTCCAGCCTGGGTGACAGAGCCAGAACTTGTCTCAAAAAACAAACAAAAGACACGTAAGGACAGTGTTGAGGACAGTATCCTCACTAGTCTCTGTGGGAGGATGGAATCGTAACTTCCATAACTGCCAGCTAGCAGACATCACTGAGCTAAGCACATTTACATTGACTAATTCTGTAAATGTTCACTTCCCTGACTCTAATGACCCTCTGTCTCACCGTTCCCTAACCTCATTTTCCCTATAAAATACCCATTACTTGTATACAAATTGCAGTCGAGTTCAGTTCATGCTGAACTCTTTTTCCTTATTGCAGTAGTTACTACTGATTGAAATCTGTCCTTTCCACTTTATTGTCTGGCTTTGTTTACCTTTGACAAAGTTCACCAATTTCAAGACACTGTTTCCAGCCTCTGCTATGGAGTTACATTGAGAAGGAAACCCCTGGAATTTAGTTTCACCCCTACACTTTCAGTGGAATTTTTCTGCTTCTTTAGAGGTGCGCAAGGGCCCTTGACAATAAGGAAACTTTCAGACTTGTCCAAGGTTCCACAGAGAGTGCTTGATCCACCCGAGCTATCACATCCCACAGGGTATACACAAGAGTATACATTAATACTTTTTTTTTTTTTTTTTTTTTGGAGACAGGGTCTCACTCTGTTGCCCAGGCTGGAGTGCAGTGGGGCAACCTCAGCTCACTGCAACCTCCCTTGGGTTCAGGCAATTCTCCCACCTCGCCCTCCCAAATAGCTGGAATTACAGGCGTGCACCACCACGCCTGGGTAATTTTTTTTGTTTGTTTTTGGTTTTTGTAGAGATAAGGTCTCACCATGTTGCCAAGGCTGGTCTTGAATTCCTGGGTTCAAGTGATTCTCCCGTCTTGGCCTCCCAAAGTTCTGGGATTACAGGCATGAGCCACAGCACCGGGCCCTGATTCCTTTTTTATTCTGGCTTCAAGATTCAGTTCTACCGTTATCGGCTGTGTGACTGGGTAAATCACTACACCGCAAGTCTCGGTTTCCTATTTACGAAATGGGTCGAATAATGCCTGCCACGTGGGGCTGCTCTGAGGAGTACAGATGTAAGAGATCCTGTGTCCACTGATATTTTCATGTGGGCTTTTTGATAATGATCCAAAAGGAACATGAGAACTGTGATTTCTCGGCCGGGCGAGGCGGCTTACTCCTGTAATCCCAGCACTTTGGGAGTCCGAGGCAGGCGGATCACCTGAGATCCGGAGTTCGAGACCAGCCTGGCCAACATGGTGAAATCCCCTCTCTACTAACAATACAAAAAATTAGCCGGGCGTGGTGGCTCATGCCTGTAATCCCAGTTACTCGGGAGGCTAAGGCACGAGAATCGCTTGAACCTGGGAGGCGGAGGTTGTAGTGAGCCGAGATCGCGCCACTGCACGCCAGCCTGGGGGACAGAGCGAGACTCCGTCTCAAAAAAAAAAAAAAAATTTGTGATCAGCGTCTTTTAAGTGGCCACCTCCCCACCCCACCTTCATGCCTCGCTCCTCCTTGAATCGTGTGTTAGAACGCTGTGATCTGGTCCAAACTCCACGGAGATGCGATGTAAAGCGATGTTGGGCAATTTCAACTCCCTGTCTCGGTCGCCACCTAGGATTACTGCACGTTCAGCTGCGACCTCATCAACATGGCTGCTGGAACTCGCCTACAGGAAAAAGAAACAAGTGACACTGAAGGTTCACTTCCGCTTCCGTTGGCGCAAGCGCTTTCATTTTTTCTGCTACCGTGACTAAGATGGAAGCGTTTTTGGGGTCGCGGTCCGGACTTTGGGCGGGGGGTCCGGCCCCAGGACAGTTTTACCGCATTCCGTCCACTCCCGATTCCTTCATGGATCCGGCGTCTGCACTTTACAGAGGTCCAATCACACGGACCCAGTAAGTTCTCGGCGCTTTCGCTTGCGTAGGGGGAGGGACCATGGGGCCTGGTGCTGCCGGCCAGTTTTGAGAGCCCGGGAAGGTGAGGCGGCAACCCCGGGGGCGCGAACGGCAGGGGAGCTCGGGGCGCAGAGTCCTGGAGAATGCAGAATAATTGGAAGGAATTGTAGAAAATCAGAAGCGGAGCTCAGTGCGCGAAAGAGGGCGCAGGCCATCCCCCCGCTCAGCTCCCACCGTTCTCACTCTTTAGGAACCCCATGGTGACCGGGACCTCAGTCCTCGGCGTTAAGTTCGAGGGCGGAGTGGTGATTGCCGCAGACATGCTGGGATCCTACGGCTCCTTGGCTCGTTTCCGCAACATATCTCGCATCATGCGAGTCAACAACAGTACCATGCTGGGTGCCTCTGGGGACTATGCTGATTTCCAGTATTTGAAGCAAGTTCTCGGCCAGATGGTGTAAGTCATCCAGAGAACAGGAGAGTGGTTCCCAAGTAGAGAGGGGAGTCCCCTGTTTTTTATTCCCTTCGATGGAATGGGGGGACTTGATGTTGCGGCGGGGGACTGGAACAGTTGTTGGAGGTCGGCGATCTAAGAGTGTTTGCAATAAAGTTTTTGGCATTAGGAGGTGTAAAATGGGGGAAGGTGTGGTAACTTCTTTTGGGGATGGGTGGAGACCCCGACTTAATTCTCTCCCTTTTCTCACAACCAATTCCTTTTAAGGATTGATGAGGAGCTTCTGGGAGATGGACATAGTTATAGTCCTAGAGCTATTCATTCATGGCTGACCAGGGCCATGTACAGCCGGCGCTCGAAGATGAACCCTTTGTGGAATACCATGGTCATCGGAGGCTATGCTGATGGAGAGAGGTTCATATGAATACAAATAACTTATTTCCTTTACCACCCAACCTAGTACCTGTGTAGTATCTCTTCTGTCTCTTCTCCCCAAGTGAATCCCACTTTAACTCAGACCCCATGGTCCCCTTCTTCAGCTAAGATGAACCTAAGGTGAAATGAGTTTTGATCCATTGTGTCCTGTTAGCTTCCTCGGTTATGTGGACATGCTTGGTGTAGCCTATGAAGCCCCTTCGCTGGCCACTGGTTATGGTGCATACTTGGCTCAGGTAAGTAGTGAGTCTAGAGGTGGGGAAAAGGGAAGACAAAAGGAAATGGATTAGTGGTTGTCTCCGTTTCTCCTGAAATTCTGATACGAGGGATGGGCTGGGATCCCTATTACTGGGCAGATGGTTTTCTTTGTAGTCTGGGGGCTGTAGGTGTTGACACTGATTTCCAGTGACAAGATGGAATGTCTGGGAGTCAGTAGACATGCAGAGAGAGGACACCCTAGAACTTCCGCTTGAAGTGGCTCTTAGCTTATTAGTAAGCAGAGTTTCATTCTGGTGAGGCACGAGGTAGAATGTCATCTTTTCACTCTCATGCTTTTTATACCATAGATTTGAGACAACTAGCCTGTTATTCAGCCCAATATCTACCATGGTTTCCCCCAATCTCCCTAGCCTCTGCTGCGAGAAGTTCTGGAGAAGCAGCCAGTGCTAAGCCAGACCGAGGCCCGAGACCTAGTAGAACGCTGCATGCGAGTGCTGTACTACCGAGATGCCCGTTCTTACAACCGGGTGAGGGATGTGCTGGGAACCTAATTGGTGGGCTCTGAATCCTTGCAATCCCTGGGTCTCTATGCTTTGAAGAACAGATTGCCTCACTTGTGTAACTCCTATTTTTACCCTGGGGAAGACCTCCACTTGACCTTTCATTTAAGGACTTCTTTAAGGGGTGGGCATTATTGAATGCTCTGCTTTTTTCCAGTTTCAAATCGCCACTGTAACTGAAAAAGGTGTTGAAATAGAGGGACCATTGTCTGCAGAGACCAACTGGGATATTGCCCACATGATCAGGTTAGTAATAGGAAAAAAATTGGTGACAGATTGGGGAGGTCTTTGGCTTACACTAAGCTGGGCTTTTCTGGGAGACTCATCCAGGAAAATGGGTGGAGAGGGTTTTGGTTGGACGGTACAGCTATTTTTAGGAATTGATCCCTTTATGCTTTACACTTTTATTATTCTCTCTTCCTTTTTTAGTGGCTTTGAATGAAATACAGATGCATTATCCAGAACTGAAGTTATACCCTACTTTTAACTTTGAACTTGGCTGGTTCAAAGATAAGACTCTTCTTTTGTAAAGTAAATAAATTCTTCAAAATGCTTGCTGAGTGGTTTTTGTCTGACTGGGTCACACCAAGTGCAAAACTGCTGAGTACTGCTATGTGCCATCTCCCTCCTTGGTTGGAGAACCCTTGGGGTCTTGCAGCACATACAGAATTCTCTGCACGACACAGAAAGACACACTAGCGTCATTTGGAGCTGTATTAGAAGCAGAGCTTCCTGTAGAAGCGACTTAATTTTTGTGTGCTAACTGGCTTTTTGTGTTCAAATTCTTCTCCCAAATCTTCTCCCACTACACTGGATTATCAAAGGATACAGATTTCTTAATGTTGGCTGTGATTTTCATTAAAATACCACTTTAAAGATAATCTAGTAGAGCTGTTCTGTCTCAGGTTGCCCTCAAGTCAGCTGGGACATCAACCATCCCTGGAATGGTTCTAAACCTGAATATTTTAGAGACAAAATTCTCATTCTGTTGCCCAGACTGGAGTGCAGTGGCACGATCATAGCTTACTGCAGCCTTGAATTTCTGGGCTCAAGCAACCTCTTGCCTCAGCCTCCCAAGTGCTGGGATTACTGGCATGAGCCATCATGCCCAGCCTGAATTTTTAAAATGAACACTGTAGGTGACTCTGACACATATCCTCTTCAAACTTCTTGAGAAAGAAAATATAGGCAGCAAATTCAAAGTATAGAAATTCAGTGAGAGAACTGAAGGAAAAATCAAACCATCCCTCCACTTGCATTGTCTGTAACAACAAACTTGTAAGGCAAAAGAAAACAATGAGCTTTCAACCTGAAACCTCCACACATTCAGTCTCAACACAGAAAATAGTCAATAAATACATGTTTATTGATTAAACTGAATTATAAAAAACAAAACCAAAAAAAATTTCCTTCTACTACTAAGCCATGCAGGCAGAGTCCACAAAGACAACTTCCTGGCCAAAACCCAGCTGATCCGCTGTTGGTATTATGATCTTAAAAAAAATTACCCATCAAGAAAGTCAATCATGTGCAGAGGACGGGAACCCCAGCTCTGCTAAGGCTGTGGCTGCTGCAGAAACTACCAAAGAGTAGGATTAAGTTGTAGATAGAAGTGACCAATCAGTTCTTGAACTTTCTCAAAGGCAAAGGCTGACTTCAAAGTCCATAGTCAATAAAATGGCATCAGGCAAAAAGCTGGGGAAGAGAAGCCCAGATGGATCCTTAGTTGTTTTCAGATGTCAAGGGTTCACAAAGCTGGCCAAGCTGTTTCTGGAAGGGACTTTTCCAGTTCACTATATTATAGTGTGCTGGGGGATGAAAAAAAAACAAAAAAGCGGGGTGGGGTGGGAGAAATGGGTGGTAACAAATGTCACACCTGTACCACCAGGCCCATCACATCTTGAGCATTTCCCAGTCTGTGAAAGCCTATTAAACAAGGTCACCTAGAAAAAAAACAAGTTTATAAATCCATTTCCCCTCATTTTATTAAATGTTCCACTTATGTACATTTTAAAGACGAACCATTTACAAGCTTGTGCAGGTTGCCTCCTTGGCTCACAGGAGGGGAACATTGTTGAAAGTCTCAGGATAAACAGAAGACTTGGTTTTTTGCTCCTTTTCTCTGTACGGTACAGTACGTTTTGGTTTAAAACCATGAGTACATACAATTAAAAAAATCCCTCATGCAAACTGTAGAAAAAATTTTTTCCTTGAAGCTGGCAGTGAAAAATAAAGATTCATGTCATTTTCTTTGTGCACACCCCTGTGCGCTTCTTCCTATCAGATTCTTCCCTAAGTATTAAGAGAAATAGGGGAAAGCCACAGAGTACGCTGGATTTCAACAAGTAGTCTGTCTTGTCTTTTTGAAGTTCAACACTTCTTCAACAATTAGCTCCTGACTATAGGACCAGCAATCCCTTGAACAGGCATGTTCGCCATTTAACAGGATGAAGTTCAATAAAGTAGGGACTGCCCCTGGGGGCTTACAGGATGAAGACTCAAACTGGGAATGGCTTCCACCCTAAAACTGATCACCTCAGTACCTCTTGCTTGCTAATAACACCTGTATCATCCTTTGTCCAGAGTGATGGATGGTGTGAGAACAGGGAAAGGGGCCAAGGATCACAAGTGCAAAAAATATTGTTTATGTCATGTTTTGGAGGGAAGGTGGTGAGGAAAAGACAAATCTATTCATTCTGGATAATTAAAGGTGGTTTCATGCATTTTTAAAGCCACAATTTTATATCTAGGGTTGCTGTAGAAACCAACATCTCTGGAGAGGGAAGGCAAGAAAAGGAGAAGGAAGAGAGAGTTCAGTGGGACTTTTTTTTCCATTTTCATTTTTATATAAAAGTGTTAAGACCACAATGAAAAAAGTTTTTTATCCATATATATAATAAACCAGTTTGTGAGCTACATAATTTGTCTTTCCCATCTTCAGAAATGTTCTCACATTGACAATGATTAGATAGCATCATGCCCAAAGACATTGGCCACACAATAAAACAAAAAACCAGAAGTACTATGATACAATCGAGGTAAAAGGGGAAACAAAATTTAACATTCGCCCACAATTTTTTTTTTCTTTTTCTTAATTTTGTCAGAAAAATACCAAACACAGTGATTTAAATTTAAAAAAAAAAAAAAAAAAGTCACAAAAACCTGTTTTTAGCAGAAGTGAATGACCAATGGGCCAGCTCCTTGGCTCAGACGTGATTACTATTGGTTTTCCTAATTAATCCACAAATCCACAGGGAAGTGTAAGTCAACTTCAGGGGGGAGTGGTGGTGTAAAATTAAAAAATATAAACCAAATACCCCACCTGGTATGCCCCCTTTTCCCTAAGCCCCTTTACCCTCCCTCACATGTTCCCACCCCCACTCCACACCCCCTCATGACCCCACTCAAATCTCCATCAGATCTAGGTCAGCTTCTTCAAAGCCATAGAAAGACTCGGTCTCACTTTCACCCTCAAAGAGCTGGTGAAGGCTTTCAGGCTCAATTGTCTCTTCAGGAGATGATCTGGGTCGTGGAGTGGAAGACTCAGAATGTTCCCCACTCAGCTTTAGTTGCTCCTCTAGGGAGGCAATTAGCTCCTCCTGCATGTCAGCATTTCTTGTAGGTGAGTTAATGTTGCCATCAGGGCCAGGCAGAACACTAGCCACCAGGAAGGAGCGCTGAACCAGCTCTGGACAGTCCCCAATGACACCTAGCACTTCACCCAGCCAGACAAGCACCAGCTGAAGGAGGACATCAGAATCACATGCAGTATCTGCCATTTCCCGAGCCTGTTCCTTCCACTTTTTATGCAGGAAGTTCTTGACAGTTCTTTTGATGCATACATCTAATGGCTGAATTTTGGAGCTACAGCCTGCTGGGACCACTGCAGGCAAAGTGCTAGAGGCACTAAGCATAGCCAGTACCTCTTCTGACAAGTGAGTGCGATGACAGTCCATCACAAGCATGCCTTTGCTGCGCTGGCAAGCTGTGTGCTTCTGCCACACTCGAGTTGACCACAGCTCCATTATCTCATCATCACTGTAGCCACTCTCCTTTGCCTCTAGCAATATGGAATCTGGCATGTTAGCAGGCTGATCCATCTGCCCTCTGTAGAAAACCAGGGTGGGAAGGACAGTGCCATCTGCCAGAATGGCCAGGACTACATCACACCAAGGTTCCCCTGTGCCCACCGTCTGCAGGGCATTCTCCTTTCGGTCATCACTGCTCAGCACCTCTGTATCCAGGAACAAGGATATCTCGTCAATAGCCACAATCATAGACAAGGGTAAGTCCTGGTTGTGAATCTGCCGTTGTACAAATTCAATGAAGAGTCCTGCATTCTCTGCCACGTCCTTAGGTAGGGTGTGGGCCACAGCTCGCCGGGCATGGGGAGTCAGGTGGTGCCGCAGCATGAAACGCACAGCCCACTCATAGGAGATCTTAAATCCCCCTTCCAAAGAACGTCCTATTTTGGTGGCCTTCTGGAACAAGGTCTCCTCATTTACAGGTAGCTGTTGTTCACGCTGGGTTAGCACCCACTCAGCCAGTTTCTCTTCTGCCTCAAAGCTTAGATATTTGCCCTCTAGATTCTCCCCCTGGGAGGCCTGGAAACGTCGAAGCCAACGCCGAATACGTCGCTGGGGATTTCGGAAGTGTTCAGCTGCCTGTTCTGTATTGCAGCATAGAGCAAACAGTACTACTCGAAGCTTCTTCACAGACAGCTGCTCCTTTTTGCCAACCCCACTACCACCACCACCTGATGCTGGCTCAGGTTCCTGGGTGACCGGGCTCCCTTCATCCTGATCATCAACATTCAGACATTCAGCTCCCTCCGTAGCCAATGGTGGAAGGGCTAAAGGCTGTGTGTGAGTGGGGGTTGGTGGTGGGGTTGCAGTTGAGGCTGGTGATGGGAGTGCTGGGGCTAAGGGAGTTGGTAGCTCTTCAGGCTCAGCTGGGGTGGCCCCCGCAGATTTCACAGTGGCAGCTTTGTTAGTGGGGAAGGAAGGAGGAGGGTACATATTCTTCACGTTCCGGTCATGCACTCGGTCACGAGTCTGGCCATGCCTACAGGGGTGAGGAGCAAAGAGAGGAGGAAAAATCTCAGTTCAACTAGGAAATTGAAATAATAATAATATGATAATAATAATAAAGAATAAACACACTGCAAACCAGAAATTAAATTGTGAGGTGAGTTTTTGTTACCTTGAGTGAGCTATCCAAGTGAGTCCTATGGAAAATGAAACAATAAAAAAAGTTAGCTCAGTGAAGAAATAAGCCCTCCAAAGACAGTGCCCTGGGATTTCAACTTACTACATAAAAATACGCTGTTCACAGTGACCAGCTTTCCCAGTTTTCTATAAACTTTAGGTCGGAAGGTTTCTAATTTGGTACAGTACATCTCAACGGTGAATGAGTGAGGCCAGGTGGGCATGCTCCTGATGCATACAGTACGAACCTGGATCTTTTTTCCTCCCCTTGCTCAACTAATCCCCATCTCTCCTACTTACCCCGTGGCAGGATGCTGCTGGATCTGTGAGAGGGGTTGAATACCAAATGCTTGGCCATAGCATCTCCCACAGAGGTAACAAAGGTACATGAAGTGCAGGCCAGCTTGATTCCACTAAAAAAGAGAATCGAGAATATCTAAGAGAAATACAGCAGTGACACTTGAGACCATTAAGCTTTGAGGCTTAAGAAAGAAAAGGAATGCCCTCCCTCTTTCTCTTTTCTCTGAAATTAATTCACATAACCACCTCTCCAAATAATGAAAAACCTGAAAATTAATTAATGTAAAAACCTGAAAAATTAAGATGCTGCCAGTAAGTTTTTTCTTACCTCACAGAATTTTTAAACAAAGCCAAATACTTGGGGCTCTTCCGTGGAACATGATTGCTGAGAAAGACAAAGAAGTGGTATGAGTTATGGAGTTCTGCTGGCTAAGCTACAGATCACCAGCCAGTGACAATCCCCCAACAAGAGACGCTTCTTCAGTGCATCCTAATCTCAACCTAAGCCAGTTTTCCTGTCACCATGCTTCTTAAACTTTAATACGCATACGAGTCCCCTGAGGATCTATTAAAATTCACATTCTGATTCAGCAGGCCTAGGGTGGGGCTGAGAGTCAGCATTTCTAACCACCTCCCACCTAATACTACTGCTACTTGGCCCTAGTAGCACAGACCATCAAAACTGAAAAAACAAAGCCTCTCACTCTGCTGGGAGAGAAGAACAAATAGGTCTAAGAGTTGAAAGAGGAAACATATTAGGAGCAGGGGAGAAAACGAAATGAGTGCTCAAGAATCTGGCTGGGACCAGGTGCAGTGGCTCACGCCCATAATCCCAGCACTTTACGAGGCCGAGGCAGGTGAATCACCTGAGCTCAGGAGTTTGAGACCAGCCTGGCCAACATGGTGAAGCCCCATCTCCACTAAAAATACAAAAAAATTAGCCAGGTGTGGTGGTGCACACCTGTAATCCCAGCTACTTGGGAGGCTGAGACAGGAGAATCACTTGAACCCAGGAGGCAGAGGTTGCAGTGAGCCAAGATTGTGCCACTGCACTCCAGCCTGGGGGACAGGGCAAGACCCTATCTCCAAAAAAAAAAGAAAGAATCTGAACTCTCAAGCTAAAATACTGGTTAAAAAACAACTTACTTGATCATGTGGTTGGCATAAGCTCGAGAGCAGCAGGTGCTGTAGCGACACAGAGAGCAGTGTACATAAGTAGGGAAATGATTAGGGAAGTCTGGGATCTCGAAGCTGCACTCCAGGCATGTCTGCCGGCCCATGACACTCCTGTGGGAAAAAAGAAAGAATTCTCATTACTGCCTCAGGGGTCCCCAAAATGTAGGATTTTCAGACAACAAACCCTGCTAAAAAGCTACCAGATCGCACTGTGTATCAGGAATAATCCTGCCCACCCAGTCCCCACCCGCCCAGCACTTAGAAGAAGGTGCTGACATTTTCCTAACAGCTCTCTTCTGGATGCTGCGCTGGACAGGGGGATAAAGGAAGACAGGCAGAGGGTCCATGGAGGAGGTCAGTGGTGCTGCCTCCTGCAAGGCGCTGGGAGGTGTATCATTAGAGGATACAGGAACAGTTCGTGGCTGCCCTCGGGAAGCCCGGATTGTCACCTGAGAAACAAGGGAAGTAACGATGAGACATAACCCACACTGAATTTCAGAATACTGAAAATCTCTATTCCTCCCTCCCTGAGCCTATAAGACACTGGCAAACTCTTTACCTTGGTGCCTGGTTTCAAGCCCTCCAGCTGCTTGGGTTTACGGAAGGTTTTATGGTGTTGAAGCTTGTGTTCAATTTTGTCCTTGGCAAAGAGAAACTGTAGCCGGCATTTGTTGCAGTGATAAACATTTCTCTTCTGAAGTGGGGGAGGGAAAAAAAGAGACAAAATCCCTTAAAGGTTCCTAATAAATTTTCTTCTTTGAGGAGAAAGCAGATCAATGTCAACCATATCATTCTTCCCACCATTCTGTTGATAATTTAAGAGAGTAAGAAAGAAATATGCGACATGACCACAAAACCTACCATTGAGAATCATCACCTCCCATGATCTCAAAGAAAGATGGTAGATTCTAGTCCACGATGACTAAGTTCTCAAATCATCCGTTCCTGACTTGTTTAACAATTTGAATGAGTGATGTAACCTTTATTTGTATTGTATCTTTACATTGCTGACAACTGGACATTCTCCTGGACATTCTTTTTTTTAAAAAAGGACAATGTACATAGTAAAGAAAAGTCATACTTTTTTTTCTGTACTCTTCTAACTTTGCTTTCAACTCCGACACTCAGTTCCCTTCCATACAAACGACTTATTACCAGTTTCCTGAGTATGCTTTCGTGGACAGTCTACACATGTAACTGTATCACAAACACATTCATATCCAATCATTACCTGCCCCACCCCCCTTTTTTTGAGACAGGGTCTCTGTTGCCCAGGCTGGAATGCAGGGGCATGTTCACAGCTCACTGCACGTCCCAAGTAGCTGGGACTACAGGCACGCGCCACCATGCCCGGCTACTTTTTGTATTTTTTGTAGAGACTGGGTGTCACCATGTTGCCCAGGCTGGTCTTCAACTCTTGGGCTCAAGTGATCTACCCGCCTTGGCCTCCCAAAGTGTTGGGATTATAGGCGTGCACCACTGTGCCTGGCCCCCACTTTTTTCCCTTTCCTTTTTGTAGAAATGTTGTCTCACCATGTTGCCCAGGCTGGACTCCACCTCCTGGGCTCAAGTGATCCTCCCACCTCAGCCCTCTTCTTTTTCTCCTTTTAATACAAATGATAGCACTTATCTTGCTGTTTTCCCACTTAACACATCAGTATATACAGATACGTCTCCTGGTGAGACCATTTTGAGGATTCAGTCCGCCTAGTATTGAAGTCCTTCAAAAACAGAACCCATGTCTATGATTTTCTTTAGTAGGATAACAAGTTTAGGCTGAGAGACAATTTCCACCCCCCTATTTGGAAACATAGTTGTGGTAGACGATCAGCAGTCACTACTGTGCAAAGGAGACTACGAGCGTAATAGGGTGCATATGTTTGTGTGCATATGTATGTGACTATTAAGCACACATTCTCCATTTTGAATCCTCTCGTATATACCTTTCACTCTCCTCTAGTGGCTCTCTTCTTGTAGTATTTTAAAACGAAGTCATAGCTTTTCATCTTATAAAGTAAATAAACAAAAGCAACAAGAAATTCTTCTTTGCCACTTCTTCCTCTGGATTTACCTACTCTGGGGGTCCTCCCTTTTTATAAACAAACATCTTTAAATACATCATCTTCATTTCCTTACCTCTCATTCATTTGTTCTGCTGAAATCTAACTTCCACCCTACCAACCAATAAAATGGCTCTCATCAATGTTGCTAAATTAAAGGCCTGTTTCTAAGTCCTTATGTTGCTTGACACCTTCCTGTAACGTACGACATTTTGATCACACCCTTTTCTTTAAAATACGTTCTTCTCCCCAGTTTCCTTAATGTCAAGACTCTTCTGGCTTTCTTCCTAGTACTATGGTGGTTGCTCTATAGATAAGAGACTTCAAATATCCTAAGCCTTCTCTTATTCTCAACAGGGTTGGGGGGCCCATGTCATTTAAGTTTAAAATCTACAGGATTTATTTAACGCTGATTCCTAAATATCTTTTCTGCAATCCAGAGTTCTCTCCCAGGCTTCAGATCTATTATCCAACAGCGACACTTGACATCCACAGATACTGCTAACTTACAATATCCAAACTCATGATCTCCCCCGTCACAAATATACTTTCTCTATTGTTTCTATCTCAGCAAATAGTTTCCTCATTCACCCAGTTGCCCAAGACAGAATCTTAGGCACTATTCTTAACTACTGGATTGCTACCTTCACTTAATCCATCTCTACATCATAAATATCACCAATCTTCTGAATATCTCTCAACTCTACCCTCTTTTTCTTCATTTCAAAAGCCAATAGCCAGTATCATCTCTCACCTGAACTACTGAAAAAAGCCTTCCACCTAGTTTCCCTAACTGTAGTCTCCATCTCCTTTAATCCATTCTCTGCAGTGCAAGCAGTATAAAATCTTAACTAAATCTGAACACATCACTCCAGGGCTTAAAACCCCTTTAATGGCTTCCCAATGACTTCTTTTCATGGCTTAAAAGACCCTCCATGATCTGTCCCTGCCTAACTTCCAACTCCTCTGTCTCTTACACCCTACACTGAATCTCTCTCAATTTCTTGAACCTCCATAATCTTGCTTTGTGCCTTGGGCACACTGTTCTTCATCTTATTTCATCTGGCTCAATCTTACTCATCCCTCAACTATTGAACAACACTTCTTTCTGGAAGCCTTACTAGGCACCCAGAATAGCTATGTGATTTTCTATATCCTATACTTTCCCCAACACAGTACTCTTCATGCTTTATTGTATTGTTTGCCTTGTTTACCACTAAATCTCTAGCATCTAGACTGGTACATGGTACATAAATGAATTCAATCAATTTCTGCAAACAAATGCATATTATAATCTCTGCCCAAATTATTTGCCTAGCTCAGCCCTGGCCCCAGCATCCATGTCTAAAAAAAAAAAAATAAAGAGAATATGGGAATTGCTTGGTGCCTAGTACCTGGTGCCTCATGTAATGCTGTTGGAATGCATTGCCATTTTTGAAGACCTTCAGGCAATAAGGGCAGAGCAGATGCCGGGTATCCTCATGGATCATCCGAAAATGGACATCTACCTCAGAGTAGAGTGAGGAGCGATATTGACACACCTGAGTCACATAAGAGGGAAAATAAGGCTAAGAATGAAGTGAACAACTGAGAGGCCTTAAAAAAAAAAAAAAAAAAAGGTAGCAATAAAAACTTTTAAATAAAAAAAAAAGTTTTCCCAAATGCATAGAAATCAAATTATTTTTCTGACTTTGTAATGCTGGGCTATGTCTGTGATAGATTTAGCTATTACTTTAAAAACAGGAAAGGACAGGAAAGTCTAAGAACAATCCATGTTCTATAACTAAGAAAAATAAAGCCTTTTCTGTGAATTTCCAAAGGGCATGTTCAGGAGACAGACACTCCCTTAGAATATGCACATGTTCCCTGGCTAGTCTACTTGTGGACATGTTCTTTTATGTTTTACTCCTGCATGGAAACCCTGAAGATAAACTGTGTTCACTATTTCTTCTGTACCTACTCAGAGTTCCTAAACTGAGTGTATGCAGTAGGTATTCAGCAATATTCATTAGCAGATTCTTTGTGTTCTGCCTGAGAGCAAAACTGCTAAAACTCCCTGGAGAAAAAGGCAATACCTGGCAAACATAAGGCATCTCTCCAGGCTTATGAGTATCCTTCATATGCTGGAGAAATAGTGGCTCACTTTCAAACGCCCACTCACAGATCTTGCACTTGGCTGTAAGAAGAAAAGTAATCAATAAATCCACTTGAAAATAAGACAAAAGTCCTGCTGACTCACAATCTTTATTTTCTGACTCCTTTATTTTCATTTTCAACAATCAGTAAATCACAGGTCCCTTCTGTTCTTTCTTTAAATGGCTCCACCTTAACATTTGTGTTGCTGATAATCTTATGTATGTAGCTCAGACTTCTTACCAAAGCTTCGTTCTAGATCTTATCTATAAGACATTTTAAATTGGTTATTCTATCATCAACTCTAACCTAATTCAGCATCCTTCTGGCTTACCAGTGTTTCCCTTTTTCTTTTCCCCATTTCTTCCTGAGCTCAAAATTTAGGCACTATCTCGGACTCCAAACCCTGTATTCTGTCACCATTATTTCAAACTGCATGTAGGAGCTGTCACTTCTCTATTCCTATAGGCAAAAACTTGGTAGTGGCTCATATGATTTCCCACTGCTAATCTGCTGGCCTCCAATACTTCCTACTCTCTTTGAAATTGTCCATTTTGTCAAGCTTATGAGAAAAAATTTTGACAAAATTTTATGACACAAATTAACGATTTTGTCAACTTATGAGACAATTTTTGGTAATTTCATGTTGGCCAGGCTGGTCTCGAACTCCTGATCTCAGGTGATCAACCTGTCTCAGCCTCCCAAAGTCCTGGGATTACAAGTGTGAGCCACTGTGCTTGGCACTCCCCATTTTTTTTTTTTTTTTAAAGAGACAGAACCTCACTCTGTTGCCCAGGCTGGAGCATGATCACAGCTCACCGCAGCCTCCTGAGTAGCTAGGACTATCCTTTGAGCTCAAGCGAGCCTCCTGTATCAGCCTCCCAAGTAGCTAGGACTACACTGGTGCACCACCATGCCCGACTAATTAAAACATTTTTTTTTTTTTAGGTACAGGGTCTTGCCATGTTGCCCAGGCTGGTCTGAAACTCTTGGCCTCAAGCAATCCTTCTGTCAATCCACTTCAGCTTCCCAAAGTGCTAGAATTACAGGGGTGAGCCAGTATACCAGTCAATTTTGGTAAGATTTTTAACTGCTACATATTTTGAATTATACAGTATAGCAAAAAGATATTATTTACATTTTTCTCACTTTAATTGGAATTAGTTTCAAATTTTTGCAAATAAGAAAACTGGAAGCTTAACGCCTTGGGCATTTACTGGACAATGTCTAACCTCCCCTGCCAGCTCCCTACACCCCAGCCAAAGAAATATGAAGAGTTGAAATTTTTTTTTTTTTTTTTTACTACCTAGAACCCTGGATTTTTGTTTTTGTTTCGAGACAGAGTCTCGTTCTGTCTCCCAGGCTAGACTGTAGTGGCTCAATCATGGCTCACTGCAACCCTGACCTCCCAAGCTCAAGCAATCCTCCCATCTCAGCCTCCCAAAGTGCCAGAATTACAGGTATGAGCCACTGTGCCTAGCCAGGTAATTTTTTAAAGTAAAACAAACAAAAGCCAGGGGTTCTTAATCTGGGGTCTATGGAACAGGCCTCTAGGAACCCAGGTATTCTCTGAAATTACTTGCAAAAGACTAAAATGTAGATTTTTTTAGGAAGAGGATTCACACATTTCATATTTTTTCTCAAAGGGGTCTGCAACTCCACTTAGAAACACTGTATAGAGGTACATTAGGTGCTATGAGGACATGGATAAATAAGAAATTCTGCATAAAGGAATGAGGAAAAGTTATAATAACATAAAAAGCTGAATTGTCAAAGAAGAATGGGGCTCAGCCACCCAGAGACAGGACCAAGAAAAAAGCAGGAGGAAAGGCAAGTAGGTATGAAAGTTAACCACATGTTTGGGAAACAGTTAACTAGCAACATGACAATATTCTCTCTTTTCCACCCACCCCCTGATTTGTTTACCTCTTTCAGTTTTTTTTTCTTTTCTAGAACACCTTTAAGCAATCTTTTGTCCAGGCCTTTCTTACTCTGTTTTCCCTGGGCAATCTCATTCAATCTTTCTCCTATAACCTATTTATCAGCTCTATTTTCACAGCTGTCACGCAACATCAATAATAAAAACACTTATTAAGCAATTTCTAATGTACAAGCATCATGTTAAGATTTACATGTGTTGGCTGGGCGCGGTGGCTCACGCCTGTAATCCCAACACTTTGAGGGACTGAGACAGGCGGATCACCTAAGTTGGGAGTTCAAGACCAGCCTGACCAACATGGAGAAACTCCGTCTCTACTAAAAATACAAAATTAGCCAGGAATGGTAATGCATGCCTATAGTCCCAGCTACTTGGGAGGCTGAGGCAAGAGAATCGCTTGAACCCAGGGAGGCAGAGGCTGCAGTGAGCCAAGATGGCACCACTGCACTCCAGCCTGGGCAACAAGAGCAAAACTTCCTCAAAAAAAAGAAAAAGAAAAGATTTACATGTGTTATCTCAAGAAAACTAATGAGGTAGGAACTCAAATGTAAGTGGATTTAGGAGATCTCTGGTAACCTTTGACACATCAGTTCTACAGGGGAAGGCGCTAATACAGAAAAAGATTCAAGAGGGAGAATGAATTGATTCTCCATAGTGGCTATCCTAAAACTGTCCCTCTGAGCACCATCACCCTCATTCCCTCCTTAACACTTAACACAGTCTCCTACTTTGAGGAATTAGGCATGAATAACTATAACTTTTGCTGCTTGTTTTGCAAACTATGGAAGGATAGATCTCTTATATCTTCCTAAGGCTCATCCAACCTCATCATGCCATGTATTCCAAGATTTTGTCAATTTGTTTTCCCTGTCTTGAATCTTCCCCACCCCCGACAGTTTCCGACTCCCAAACATGGTTAAGCTCCTTAAAGCATCCTTCCCTCAATCCTATTTCTTCCTCAGTCTATTATTTCTCCTTTCCGCTAATGCAAGATTTTTTGAAAGATTAGAATAACCTACATCTGTTACCTTTAATGAGATGCTCAGGAGGTGGAGGTAATGATGCCAGGAGGAAAAATGTTAGAGTATTTGAAGAAATGGGCGTGGTGGCTCATACCTGTAATCCCAGTACTTTGGGAGGCCGAGGCGGGTGGATCATGAGGTTGAGAGATCAAGACCATTCTATCCTGGCTAACATGGTGAAACCCCATCTCTACTAAAAATGCAAAAAAATTAGCCAGGAGTGGTGGCGGGCGCCTGTAGTCCCAGCTACTTGGGAGGCTGAAGGCAGGAGAATAGTGTGAACCCAGGAGGCGGAGTTTGCAGTGAGCTGAGATCACGCCACTGAACTCCAGCCTGGGTGAAAGATCGAGACTCTGTCTCAAAAAAAATAAAAATAAAAAAAATAAAAAGAAAAAAAAAAAGGAGTATTTGAAGAAATGTACCTTAAGATAGCCACTATGGAAAACAGGAATAATAACTAATAGTCTTAACCATTTTTTAGTCCCAAATCTGAGAGTAACAAAAGGTATGCAGCAGCCTCTCTCCTGAAAAATGCACACACACAGGAAAGGTTTCCATGTAATTTCAAGGCGTTCACAGGACACCTCACCACCACGCAGGTTAACATTTCTGTATTAGACATAAATATTAAAAGACTATTAATCAGGGCCAGGTGCAATGGCTCACACCTGTAATCTGAGCGAGAGGCGGGTGGATCACCTGAAGTCAGGAGTTCAAGACCAGCCTGGCCAACATGGTGAAACCCTATTTCTACTAAAAATACAAAAATTAGCTGGGTGTGGTGGTGCATCCCTGTAATCCCAGCTACTCGGGAGGCTGAGGCAGCAGAATTGCTTGAACCTGGGAGGTGGAGGTTGCAGTGAGCTGAGATCGCGCCACTGCACTCCAGCCTGGGTGACAAGAGTGAAATTCCATCTCAAAAAAAAAAAGAAAAGAAAAAAAGACTATGAATCAGACAGAGTGTGGGAGGCTCACACCTGTAATCCCAGCACTCTGGGAGGCCAAAGTGGGTGGATCACTTGAGGCTAGGAGTTCAAGACCAGCCTGGCCAACGTGGTGAAACTCAAGTCTCTACTAAAAATACAAAAATTACCTGGGTGGGATGGCGTACGTCTGTAGTCCCAGCTACTTGGAAGGATGAGGCAGGAGAACTGCCCGAACTCGGGAGGTGGAAGTTGCAGTGAGCTGTGATTGTGTCACTGCATTCCAGCCTGGGTGACAGAGTGAGCCTCAGTCTCAAAAATAAAAAAGACTATGAATCAGCATTAGACAAACTTATGAAAAGAACCCTAGGGCCATACAAGCTCCTTCAAGTCATTGCACTGCTCTGAAACAAGTGTGAATAAAAATGTAACGCTATTTTTTTTTTTTTTTTGAGATAGGGTCTCACTCTATCAACCACACTGGAGAGCAGTGGTGTGATCATATCTCACTGCAGGCTCGACTTGCTGAGCTCAAATCCCACCTCAGCCTCCTGAGCAGCTAGGGCTACAGGCACATGCCACCACACCTGGCTAATTAAAAACAAACAAACAAACAGAGATAGAGATAGGGTCTCACTATGTTCCCCAGGCTGTTCTCAAACTCCTGGGCTCAAGCAATCCTCATGCGTTGGCCTCCCAAAGTGCTAGGATTAGTGGCATGAGTCACCATTCCTTGGCCTGTAATGTTGTTAAGATGATATTGTTATCACAATTAAATATAATGATCCACTGATATTCTGGGGACAACTCAGAAAATTTTAAAATAAACTAGGTATTGAATGATATTAAGGATTTCTAATTAATTCTGTTAGTTTTTTTTTTTTTCCCCCGAGATGGAGTCTTGCTCTCTCACCAGGGTGGAGTACAATGGTGGGATCTCAGCTTACTGCAACCTCCGTCTCCCGGGTTCAAGTAATTCTCCTGCCTAAGCCTCCCAAGTAGCTGGGATTATAGGCGTGTACCACCACACCCGGCTAACTTTTTGTATTTTAGTAGAGACAGGGTTTCACCATGTTGTCTGGGATGGTCTCAAACTCCTGACCTCATGATCCACCCACCTCGGCCTCCCAAAGTGCTGGGATTTACAGGCGTGTGGCAC